TCAGTGCAAGCCCTGGGCGGTGCTGCTGCCTAACGATTCATCAGGGCATTAGGCAAACTATAGCTGCGCAATAACTGATTTCATCGAGCGACTTGCTGAGCTGTATCAGCAAATTCCAGCCATGCGCGTTACACTTTCCGAGAACGTTGGCCTGACCCAGCGCTGACGGAATATTCCATGGTGAGGCAACTGGTTGACGCAAAAAGCTGGGAGGTTAACAGTCCAATATTACATACCCTCTTTTTATATTCGAAATAAAGCAAAGCTTCTGTGACGGTAAAGACAGGGTTTCCTGAGGGTGTAACAAAAACCTCCCCAACTGATATGTAATGGGTCTGGGAATTTTTGGGACCGTCACAGTAACTAGTGGGCGAAGTGGCACTTTGCTACACCTAAGAGAAATGTTTACGCACGAGCCGTAGGCGAGTGTGGAAAGTTTCTCGAGTGCAGCAAAGGCAGTTTGCACTTGTGTTACACATTATATTTTCCCTAAAGTTACCATCTATACTATTATATAAAAATCTAATGGTGTCTGTCTGTATGTGTATTACTAATAGGTGCAAAAACTACCGAACCAACTGGGCTTTAACTTTACAAAAATATAGCTACCATACCAAGGACCATTATAGGACTATTCACACTTCGATACTGACCGCGGGCTTTGCCCCTTTGGCTTTAAAAGTTCTGAGATGAACATTTTAAAAGTAAATATTGATTGGTCTCCATGACTGCGATGAGAACACTAACAATGTTTGTTTACATTTGCTTTGACACTTAAATGTAAACAAGAAGAACTGCTAAACTGCATATTTCACAATTTCAGACAGCTGATACAAAGAAATTAAATATACTATTTTCCATAACTAACTATGAGGCAGGTTTATTTTAATCTAACCTTTTATCATGGATTATTTATTCTAAAACTATGTCAATGATTATAAAAAAAGATTCTATAACCGTTGCTGTATTAACTCCGGCCCTGCTTTGGATTTTTTAAAGCGTCTAAGTTATGAAAATAATGTTATTGATATGTTTTCATGGAAACAGTATGAAAATTACAATGTATAGATGTTTTGTATGAATTTGGAGGCTACTTTGAATAAATTCTAACTGCTTAACATGTGTTAGATTAACTTAACATAACTTGCACATCACATTGTTTTTTATATGCATATTTAGGTCAATTAAGTTATTGTGTTTTGCTAAACCTATGCTTAAATTAAACTAAAGAATATCATTAATAACTAAATTGTACGTCGTTGATTTATGCTTTCTAAAATCTGTTGTATATGTGTAATTATATTTAATTATCAAATGGTAATACAAAATACTCTTATTTTATCTTAACAAAGCTTTCAGTTCACATTTACTTTATTTGATACATTTATTATAGGTGTTTTGCCACACCACTGACTAAAGTAAACCAAGGAAAATATCATAAAACTAAGCAGTACACAGTGTTCTTTTGTTTCTAAAATGAATGAAATATCTGTTACTATGTTTACTTAATGGTAAGTGTGAAAATGTAAAGGCAATGACGATGGAACTGATTAAAAGAACTAGTTTTTATATTAAGTTGTTTGTTGATATTTTTTTGGAGTAGAATCAGAGATGCAATGAAACATATACTGTATTTGCTATTACATTTTTTAGTCCTTGATGCTTTAATAATCATATTAGTTTTGTCTGGTGTCTTTATTGCTAAATTATTTGTTTAAAATTTTTTATAGTACCTACCTATAGATATTCTGTCTTTAATATTTCAAAAGACTGTATTGATAAGGCACAGCAATATTTCTTAAGTTTATAACAGCTGACTTAGTTTTTCTAATGATTTATTGTGAGTGAAGAAACTGAAGATGGAAGGATTTGTGATTTATTATAAGGAAGAGTGAAATTTAATAATTAATATTTATTTTAGCAATTTCAAAATTGAAATTTAAAATGTCGATAATAAATTAAAAGATTTGTAATTAAGGGAGATGAAGGTAAATCATGTATGTCAAAGTTTCATTCGAAGATTTGGTCGGTTTTTCTCATATCAGCCTACACAAGATTTAAAATTAATCAAACCCAAAATGGTGGTATCCACTACTTACCAGATTTAAAAGTCATATCTTAAACGTTTCTATTAAGGCTATAAAAGTTAAATTGTGTTTCTAAAAGTGTTGGTGGATGTGTTACTATTATATGCAACAGATGTAAAGATTGAAAGGTTTATATTTTGTGTTGTCTTCCCGTTGCAAAGCGCGGGTACAACAGCTAGTAAAACATATAAATAATTAGTTGTTCAAACTCTGTTCAACACTAAATGCAAATGATTCAGTTTGGATCAGTTTCTATGGTTGTCGATAATATGGAACCCACCCAAATATGGACAGTAGGCCTAGGACATAAAAATCTTCCTTTCATTTATGATAACCCAACCTAACATAACCGCCGCAAAGCGCTGTATAGCCTATCTGTAGCCTCCGGATAATACTTACCAAAGTACACATTTGAACTTTGAATAACTTAGTTAACAAACATAGCCTAGAATCTATCACAAAGGGGAAAGAATGTTGACTCACCTCACTTAAGTTATGGTTAGACCAAGTAGCATTATCACGGCAGTATGGTAATTGCCTCCAGGGTCCACAACTCTGGTCTCTCTTTCTCTCTCATCTGCAGTGATGTCGATGGCAATGTCGTCCAGAAAGGTTACTTAGTCCTCTTAACTTATTGGTTAAGACAATATTTCAAATAGAGACCAATTTGGGTTCAGGTCAAATTACAGCCTTTGCTACAGGATCATCTATAAAATTAACATTGATGTCATTTTTAATCCAAGTCTAGTAAATACAAACAGCTCTAGAATATTTGACAGCACATAATTTAACGTCCTACACTCATTCCAATGAATATATTTCTTTAATACTTTCTTTCTTATTACTTGGCGACCATACAAAGTAGGTACCGTATTTTAAGCCAAGTATGAATGGAAATGAGTGTAGGATCAGGATAAGTGGCACGATCTTGTAGTCTTGTTAGTGACTAAGGCCGACATTCCTAGACACAGCTGTTAATTAATAGCCCATACAGCTAATGGCAACTAAGGGACCTACGGTTTATAGTGGAATCCGAACCACATTATTGCCTTGGGATACGAATTGGTCTAATTACCGGTATCAGGATAGTACTGCGGATAGTCGTAGTACTCACTCGTGCGGACGTTAATCCACACCAGGGAGTATCGCATCCACAGTGCATGCCTATAAATATCCACAATTCGTGACCTCCTAAGCTGGATTACAGGACGACGCCACCAGTCCCAGTCATATTGATTATTTCATTCAACAATAAACTTAGGCCTACCTTATATCAATTTTGGGTAATGTTAGGGTAAAACCTAACCTAACTAACGGAATGAAATAGGTATTCAAAATATTAAATAGTCTATGTATTAATATCTTTCATTTGAATGAATGTAGGACATAAACTAAAGTGCAGCCAAATATTTTTACACAAACAAATTCTTAAAGTTGACACTGGGTCAGTAGGAAAAAGAGACAATCCTAATAGCCTAGGGATAATGCCTATTCAAACATTTGCTACAATATTGCTTGATGATACAGAATTAGCCTACGAATAAGCTGTAAGGTATCTTAGGTTCTTGTTGGTGACTTACCTAAGTTAGTGTCTGGTAATGTTATTAAGTTATCATGTTGATTAAGTTTTCTATCCTATAAAAACTAACTTATTTCACATTATTCCTTAAAAACTATTGTTTGTAACACTCGAGTTATCTATTTTCTTGTAAACAAGGAAAGAAATAAAAAAAATAAATATTTAGGCTACAATATAAAAGTTTTTAGTCGATAAATGGCCAGCTTGAAGATGTCTGTCGGAATTCGGAATCAAATATTGCGACTCGTGAGTTGAGGAACTGAACGATGAATTAGAACAACTCCTTTTCAAGAGTAGCTCCGAAGAACGGGTGCTTGTCGATATACTGGGACTATTTCAGTGTCGACAAAATGAAACTATTTCATTGTCGACAATATGGGATGTCGACAATTTGTGGTGTCGATCATTTGTGACGTCGGTTATTTGGGATGTCGGTTAAGTGGGAATATTCCAGTGTCGACAAACTGGGAATAATTCAGTTTCGATCAATTTCTACGGTTGTCGATATTATGGAACCCACCCTAAGCTATTACCGTAGGTCTCATGGTAAGACCTAGACCCGGGACCGATTTACTTTTTCGTTTTGAGGTCCCCAGAGGCCAAAAACACCATCCGTTCAAATTCATATATATATATATATTTATATATGTGTCCGTTAGCGCGATAACTCGAGCAAAATTGATCCGATTTTGATGAAATTTGGTACAAACGTGTAAACCTACATTTATTCGAACGAGTTCGCGAACCAGCATAATCGGACCATGGGATCAGGGGTTTATGGGGGGTTTTATGGGGTAAAAATGGGTTTTTCTAATTTTTGACTCTAAAAACTTAAAATTTCTCAATTTCTCTCGAGACCATTTTGAAGAGCTTAAAAAAACAAATAATTTAGTATATTGAAGTGTTTTTTTAATGTACATTGACTACGGAGAAAATTAAAAAAATTGTAAATTTAAAATTCCTATGTTATTCTTATGGAGAATAAATAAACTGTTCTAGTTTGCTTGTTTATAGATATATTTTAATCAAATTTGGCAATTTGGTTTATTTCATACTAAGCTATCAATATTTCAATTGAAAAAACACATCTCAACATCTTCCCCATAGCAGCAAACCTAACTACTCACTAAAATTAATGTTATTTAAATAGGAAATAAATCTGAAAATGTATAGGGAATATTTTAGTAGAAATCAAGCCGGGTAAATGGAAATTCGCTTAGTATGCAGGTTTGCTGCGACGGGGGTATTATATAGTTGGGTTGGGATTGGTAGTTCTGTTCTGTTGTTCTGTTGTTCTGTTACTGTTACTGTTTACTGTCGAGTCGACTGTCATCGTCGATGTCATTCTGCCATTCTGTTTGTCTCTGTCAATCTCAACCAAGTTAAAATTTACTGTTTAATGTTTATCTATTAATGTTAACAATAAACAAACTGCGTTTTATTCATATCTCGCTATTTATTTACTCTTTTAGAACTTAATGTAGGCTTTATATTCTAAACAAATCAGTGTTCAGAGAATAAACAACAAACTTGTAGGCCAATGTTTACCTTAATCTAGATCAAGATTTAGGCCTAACTAGGGTCTAGGTTATGGGTACTGACCGTGCATTAGGTAACAAATTAATAACAGAGGAGAAAGATGCCAATACAGTATAATTGATGCATTGTGTTTAATTGTTGGGTGTAGACACAAAAGGTGAGACTTTTTACCACACATGATTTTGATGCTGGTTAACTTGCCTTATTTAGCATGCTAGTTAGATCTTTTAGTAATATTTATTCTGATAGCCTATGGACTACGTATATATGACATTATAAACTTATCTCTGTCAAGCTTAAGCTTACAAACTTACAAATAACACGGATCCCCGGTACAGAGCGTGTGGTGTAACATGTAAGCTAGGCTAGTTAAGGTTTTACGCAATTTGGTCTAAAGACGGAGGTAAGCCTGGCTGCAATAAACTGAAGTGTAGGCCTACCGTAAGCCTAAAAAGTCACGTTTTGATAGCTTAAGCTTTTGCACTATATTTTAGCCTTTAAGTATGATTAGGATATTATTTGCTATTAGGAGCATTAAGTTATTTGTTGGGACTGTTTACACCCTGATTTGTATTTGTGTTTAAATTTTGTGCGCTTTGCACAAACTTTAACATGTTCGCTACTGAGCGTCGCATATATGTGACGCCGCGGTCATTGCCACAGACCGAGGTATAGGACATTTGAATCTTACACACAGATCGGCTGTCACTTGGATAACAGTACACACAGACCACGGGCAAAAACCTGTAAAACAGTGATCATTTACATTGTAATACGCTACAATCGTGTTTGTAAATAATGTAGTCTTGTTTTTTTGTATTATTAATGACCTTTTGTAATGTCGCATATTTGCGACGCCCGGTCTACAGGGAAGACAATAGTGAAAATTATCATAGTTTTCTTGAAATAGACCATACATCCATAGGCTATATGCGACAGTTCATTTTTTGTGTTTTGAGGTGAAAGTAAATAAAATAAAAAACAGATTGATCAAGAACAGTTTCTTAACTGAACAAATATTAAAGCTACATAGGATAATACAGCATACATACATACAGTGATGCTGAAAAGTAAAGACCAGTTTTTCCAACTATCATATGACGTCACCAATCATCATATCCACATACCAAGCGACGCAGTTGTGCATCAGACATCTCTGTAGACCACTGGTCCACGTGAATGAAAAATTTCGTACTATTGCAGTAGCGAACGTGTTAAGCTATCTTTGGTGAAAACGATCCCCTTTGAAATAGTAGGTACCCTAACTTAGGTTTGGGTTCTAGACTATTTTTTAGGCCTTATATAACTTATGTCAGACTTCTTATACTTATACATGTTAAGTTAGACTTCCGGTCTACATGGTGGTCAAGCAGAAACGGTTTTTGTATGGTGTGTGTACAAATAGTGTTACTGAAGAGGACTACGCTCTCAAGTTTGAAGTTTTCTGCGCTTCGTGGTTTTACCATAAGTGCGTCAAGCTGAATAAGAAGGATTATGACCTAACTAGCCACCTTGTGGATTAAATCTGATGGTTCTGTGGACCCTGTGATGCTCGTAATCAAACCTTCATCGAAAACGATTATGATTTAAAGAATCTAGTAGTAATGGGTTTTAACGAACCGAAGGAGGCAGTGAATTCTGTGTACAAGTTTCAAGAGAATACTAAAAAGAAGCTAAGTAACATCGTAACACGCCATGTTAAACTTAGTACTAATATTAACCTTATTGCCAAACAATGTGGTTTGAAAGCGGAAGCAACGCCACGAGCAGACAATGCAGACGACACTTCACCTACTGCTTCTAATGTCACAGAGAAGAAGGAAAAATCTCTCTGACAGTGATGACAACTGCATTGGCTTTAGCTCAAAAACCGACTACCATCCGTCAGCTGCTAACGACATTGACATGGCAATGCTGGAACCATTTAGCTTAGCTTAGATGTCCCATCTGACCTGTCAGTGAACATCAGCTCAGCGCATGTTGTCACTCCAGTTTGTTCCAGAGTAGAAGTGGAAGGCACATGTGAAAAAAATTTGAATGTGATTCGAAACCCCACTCACTCTGAAGAGGTTAGGAAACATGTTTTTGCGAGTGACAAAACCTATGCTAGTGCTCTATCTTCACACAAGCTGAAATCGGGTCGTGACATCCCTGATCTGATTGGTACTAACGCTGAGACGGCTCTAAAACCCATCGGAAAAAAGTGGCTGTTTATTTCTTGACTTCAGCCTACTACAATGACTACGGATGTGTCACACTTCATCGCTAGTGAAGGGATAAGTAAGGTTGAATGCATTGATCTAAAGAATAAGTACAATTCTTACCTACAAATCAAGTAGGTGTGTGTAAATATGATTTTGACTGGGTTCTAACTTCTGAGTTCTGGCCAACGAATATCTTTGTTAGAAAATTTGTACCTGTCAGACCTAGCAGACACCATAGTAGGCCTAGGCCAAACCCAATTGAAAGGGAAGCAGAGGCATCCACCAGCCTTATAGGGATAACCAAACCAAAAGATCTAAGCTCCCTAATTATAGGCCACTTGAATGTTTAATATTTGAGAATTAAGTTTCAGTGTTGAGATCTTTGTTGATGACGAAAACTTAGATCTTTTCTGTGTGTCTGAGCATTGGCTTGTTTATGATGAAGTTATGTACTACTGTACCATAATATTAGTAATTTGACAATGGCAACAAGTTTCTGTAGGAATACTGCAAAAAATGGTGGTGTTGCACTGTATATAAATAAAGAGCTGACTTGCACTCCAATTAATTTGGAAAAGGTCTGTGAGGCAAAAGTCTGTGAAGTAGCAAAGTATCTGCCATCCACATTGCAGATCTTGACCTTGTGATTGATCTCTTATCAATTCACTGTTTGATAGTTCTGTGAGATCTTTGAGAAATGTATCATACATCTGTCTTCTAAGTCTTTGTTTATGTTTATTTGTCAATGTTTACATTCTGTCCAGCTCCAGTGAGGAAGAAACCTTTAAGCTTCTGAAACAGCTGATCGTTGTTAAACAATTCATAATATTGTAAAAAATAAGATTCCATTCTGGTTCTTCTTGTTACAATGACTTGATCAATTTTCTCTCATAGTTTTAATTCATTATACACAAACACTCTACAGTATCCATACTCCCTGTGATTAGTAAGGTGTTGGAGATAGTGATGAAAGATCAGGTATAACTTATATGTGCCTTGAAGAACACCAGCTGTTTTCTGGCTCACAGCACGGCCAGAACACGGTTCTCCTTCCGTGTTGGGAGAACAACCTCAAGGAAGGCCTTTGAAGCTGGGAAGTCAGCTGTGCTCACACTCTGTGACCTCAGCGGGGCCTTTGACTGCATATCTCATGATATCCTGCTCAATAAACTCAGTAGATGGGGCATTGGTGGTATGGTTCTCTCCACCTTAAAAAACTTCCGAGCCAATAGAACCAGAAGTTAACACTCAAAGGCGCCTGCACAAGCTCTTAAGAACTGGAGGTGAACCAGGAGGTTCCTCAAGGATCTGTGCTGGGCCCTCTTCTATTCCTGGTCCTCATCAATTAAATCGACGAGACCAGCAGCACCATACTCTTTACAGATGATACCACGTTTCTCACTAGAGGGCCAAACCTACAACACACTAGGGATTTAGCTTCAATCCAGGTCCAAGAAGCCAAAGCGTGGTTTCAGACGAACAAGCTGCAACTGAATGGAGACAAAACCCAGAGACTCCTTTGTACCCTCTCAAGAGACTACTGGGATGACACGGCAACGGTGAAGGTCCTTGGTTTCCAGCTGGACAACCGACTAGACTGGGACAACCACGAAAGCCATGTTGCCACAAGGCTTGTTCGAGTGAACTGCCTTCTGAGACGTCTCCGGAAATGTGTTACTGAGCAGTACCTGCTGATGGTATACCATGCCCTGTTCCATTCGCACATTGCGTACGGACTGCACCTTTGGGGTCATGTGTCAGAAGTGGAGGAAGTATTGAAGCTTCAAAAAGCGGCAATCCGTATCATCTCAAGGAGCCCTTTTAGAGAACACTGCAAACCGATTTTCAAGAGACTTAGAATTTTAACCGTCTGCAGCCACTACATCTACGCCTGCCTGATTGAAATCAAATGCACTCTTCCACTTCTCAATACAAGAAGTCGCATCCACGCCCATAATACCAGAGCTAGGCAGAATCTCGATGTCCCCCGGGCAAGACTGAGCAGAACTCTCAACTCCTCCCCCATATCTGCCATCAAGTTTTTCAACAGACTCCCTTCCAGCATTCGATGTCTGGACGACCGGAAGTTCAAGACTGCTGTTAAAGACTTGATGTTAAAAGACCACACTACAAGGTTACTGACTTCTTTGAAGATAATCTGGAGTGGGATAATTAACTTTTTGTACCGTCTGTTGCATGCTTGCCATGTAAATGTACAGTTTTATTTATGTGTGCAAGTAGTTTTTTGTGTTCTATGTACTCATCGTAATAACCAGACACAGTCTATTCCCTCTGCCAGAGGGTCAACGACAAAGGAAAATGCAAATAATACAAATGTTTCAATGATTCAAGATGAAAAAACATATTCATATTTGACTCCATGAAGAATCAATTATTGTGATAAGAAAAAACATATTCATATTTGACTCCATGAAGAATCAATTATTGTGATAAGTTATGTTGATTTAATATTGATTCAGAATTCTTCTTACAACCCACTAACTTATAGGCTAAGTTACCGTACCTTACATAAAATGTATCAACCACTCTTCTTGCTCTCTTAGCCTACATCATATTTATAACCCAGCATCAAACCTAGTTTTGTTGTTGCCTATATGTTTAAAACGTTCACTACAGTAATCATACAACATTTTTCATTCATATGGACTAGCAACGCACATATGCGACGGTCGGTCCCTAACTGCCGTTGCATATATGCGACAGCTGGTCACACTAAAATAGACTGAGACATCGCATATTGCGTATGTTAGTTTTCAAAGTGATGTCTGTATTTGTGGATATGTACAGAAAAAGAGCTACAGACCACACCTGTAATCTGATTTTGATTACATTTGGTATGTAGGTACTAATCCATGGTATCTCCAGGCATTTTCTTCATTTTTTTAAATTTGGATTTTTAATGGTGATTTTCTCATAAAATTCCATAAAATAACGGAAAAGTAAGATTTTCTCAAAAATGGCCCGATTGGTTTTGATAGAAATTTAATATGTTGTAAAATGGAAAAATACCATTTCTGAAAAAATTACGGTTAAAAAGTTATCGTAACTTATGTTATTTTCTCCTAAAAACCCCCAAAACAAAAAATTTATTTTAGGAAAAAATCCGGTTTTGATCAAATTTAATGTGTTATGGTCTTTTTAATACAAAAAAAATAATGCAACCCCCTATTGGTAAAAGTTATTGCAACTTTTGACATTTTCCCTATAAAATATCATAGTTATTCCCACCATGATAAAGGTTGTTCACAAGCTAATGTGAGAAAGTATGTACCAGGTTGCCATTTATTTAAGTTTTGCGAATAGGTATATCAAAAGACTACCATCTTTGGTTATTTTTTATTGGCAATAATTTTATTTTGTCTAAGGCTGTGGTTGTTCCCCAAAACAATTTTGTTTTCTGGTAGATGGATGTTAGCCTGGAGATTACTGTACAATAATTCAAGTGGATTAAATATCTGCATTTAATAAGTAATCCGATTTGTTGCTTTATGTTGCAACCGGTTTCAAATCGGTGGAGTCATCTTCTTGTACGCCAGAAGATAACCCCAGGGAGTTGAAACCGGTTGCAACATAAAACAAGGAATTACTTAAATGCAAGTATTACAAGCAATTTAAGTTTGTTTTCTGATTATTTTATCAAGTTTTTTGCAACCTTATATGCAGGTGAAGGCATAAAGTTAACAAGAGGTCTTATAGGTACATCAGGTTTGTGATCTATGGTAGTCCTCGTAGTATTAAAGCTTACGGGTTTGTGACTTAATTAATTTCAGTTTTGAAAAACCAATGTTTGCTTTGAGAAATGGCATGGTTAATTATTTTTGCGTTATTGGCTGTAGAATCTTTGTGTTGTGTCAAATACACAAGTTTCAGAACGACACATTAGAAGAATTCGAGATTTATAAGGCAGTCAAGTCAGACAAACAATACGTAATAAAGGATAATCTTTTATTTATTTTATTTGTATTTACAATGCAAAATATAAATATTAAAAGAGGAAGGGGAGAAGAATGGAACCCGCATACAAACTGTTACTGATAAAGCACACTAACCATAGTGTCCGACAGTCTAGACGTGAACTCCTGCTGATCACGTTGTAAAATACTCAAGTCATGCTGTGGTGTGTTTTCGTTGTTTTTAAATGTGTGTGTGTGAAATATGACGAACTTCAAAAGAAGTGATCCTGTCCTTGTAATGCCTGATGATGGCTTCATTCTGAGCCGAAACTAGTTGCCCCAGTAACCAATTGGATCACCGATAGTACAAATATTTTAAAATACTTATAGTATATCTTGATAGTCCAAGAGGCTACCCTCTCGATCTGTATATCTTTATAAATGCATAGCATCAAGTTTAACTTAATTTATCCATTTTATTTAATTATCTTTTAAAGTTGATTATTTTGTTTCAGGATGACAGCCATATTAGGGGGTGGCCTAAGTGGTTTATCTGCTGCTTATTACTTGTTGAAAGCCGCATCTCAGAAAATAACAATAATAGAAGGTTCAAATTCATTGGGAGGCTGGATTCATTCCATTAAATATCCAAAGGAAGGTTTCATTTTTGAAAAAGGTCCCCGAACCGTTCGACCTAGAGGATTGCAGGGATTAAATACATTATCTCTTGTTGAGGATTTGAACTTGTCTCATAAAATCCTAGGAATACCAAGTGATCATCCAACTGCTAAAAATAGATTGTTATATGTGAACAAAGAATTACATCCCTTACCGTCTAGTATTTTTGCATTATTTAAAACTTGTCCGCCATTTACCAAACCTTTAATTTTATCTGCTTTTAAAGATCTCACTACCCCAAGAGTAGTTCATGAGGATGAGAGCATTTACAGTTTTGTTGAGAGAAGGTTTGGTAAAGAAGTAGCAGAATATGCAATTAGTTCTATGATATGTGGCATATGTGCAGGTGATGCAACCAAAATAAGTGTTAAGTTTTTAATGGCACAATTGTTTGATTGGGAGCAAAAACATGGTTCTGTGTTAAAAGGATTAATCAAAAGTGCATTTCTGACTACAGATCCTACAACCTTACCGATTGAGAAAACCACCAAATTAGCTAAACGAGCTCTTGAAGAAAAGTGGAGTGTTTGGTCTCTAAGAGACGGTCTGCAGCAGCTTACTGATGCTTTAGCTACAAATGTAGAAGGAAAAGGTGCCAAGCTCATGTTAAATGCTGAATGTTCAAAAATTGAGTTTCATGGTAAAGAAGTTACTTGTGTTTTAAAAGACCCCAATGGAGTAACATCGAGTAGAGTGTTTGATCATGTAATTTGTTCTTTACCAGCCACTACACTATCGCAGTTAGTGAATGATCAACATCCGAAACTGAGCAAAGAACTATCAGAGATCAAAAGTGTAACTGTGGCAGTTGTTAATGTTGCCTTCAAAGGAAAACATTTAAAACATAATGCTTTTGGATTTTTAGTTCCGCCTAGAGAAAAACTTCCAATACTAGGTGTCATTTTTGATTCTTGTAACTTTGAATTTGATGATTACACAGTTTTAACTGTAATGATGGGCGGTCATTGGTTTGAAGAATATTTTGGATCATCGGCTACTGAACAATCTGTTCAGGATACTGCATTGGAACAAATTTCATCCATCCTTAATATCAATGAAAAGCCAGCCTTTACTCATGCCTCTATTTTGCGAAATTGTATACCTCAATATACTATAGGACACTATGATAGAGTTAAAAGGGTGATGTCGTATATCAAAGAACACAAGATGCCACTAACAGTTATTGGAGCATCTTATAATGGGGTCGGTATTAATGATGTCATTTTTACAGCAAGAACTGCTGTGGAAGTTCTTGGTAAAATTTCCTGAGAAGTAAGAAGTGTGATTTACCTGTACTGGAAACAAAAGAACTTAAAACTGGTAATTAAAACATAATTTTTCTAATGTCATCCTCTATTTGCTCATAAAAAAGGAAGGAACTTGAATAAAATACATGATTCAATGGAAAATGTGTCTTTATTGAGTGATATTTTTATTTTAGTCTCTAACCATATTAGGGGTGCAGAATAACCTCCAGTGAAAAGGGGGGCCGGAAAAAGTTTGTAGCTACAAAATGGTTGATTTAACGTGTTTTCGTAGCTAAATTTGTTTTGTCAATTTATTTTTTGCAGTTTTAATCTACCCAGTCTTCTTTTCACTTGGTCCAACCATCTTAGCTTTGGACTTCCAATGGGTCTTCTGCCTCCTGGTTTTCTCTCCAGAATTAACTTTGATAAGGAGACTTCTTTCTTGTGAAATGCCCTGCCCACCTCATCCTTCTACTATGTACCTCAACTAAAATATTTAGGTCTTCAAATAACTCCCTCAGTTCCAATTGTGATTCCACCTCCATTGTTCATATTCATAGGTTGATCTATACCTCAATATTTTATTTTCAAACACTATATAAGTTATAATCGTCTTTACTGTATTTTTTTTTTTTTATATTTAGAGCTCAATTTTCCGATCAATACAGGAGCACTGGTTAGATATTTATTTTGTATTTAACTTTTATGTTTTTACTGTACTATCTAAGAGAATGTGGTTAACATGGGGTCTCATAGAGGGAGGCTCCAGCCCCCCCTCCCCCCAATCCTTATTGATGGACGCCAATGTCTTTAAAGGGTAGCGGATTTTTATCCCCCTGGGCAAACGTGACGTCACAAACCAGGGGGTAAAATTCCGGCCGCGAACTTTTGAGTTTCGCGAGATCAGCTTGATTTATTAAACGCGGGATTAAACATATATTTTCACAGTTGCGAATTTAATCAGAACACATCAAATTATAAAAACCTAGAGTGTAAGGCCCAGATTTTTACTCCCGGAATTTTACCCCCCGGTTTTTTACCCACGGAATTTTACCCCCTGGCCCCCTGGATATATAAATTAGTGGGATTGATTAATTATCTTAATTCTGTTCTATATAAATTTATTTGTAACATTAACTAATCAAACAGGTTTTTAATTTTAATTTTGAGATTCTAGTATTAGGATTCAATCTTTGAAGCCAACAGTTGGTTAATATGACGTATAAACAATCAACTGAATGATAATTGTTTTGAAAATTTCTTTACAAAATAAATAAATAAAGATAGGCTACTAAATAATGAAATGTTTACAATTAATTAAAAACAGAAATTAGAAAATCAATCATTCAATTTCTAAAATCGGCCAGGGGGTAAAATTCCGGGGGGCAAAAATCCGGGAGTAAAATTCCGGGGGTAAAAATCCGGCCTGTACATCTTCAGTTGTCTAAACGCTAGTTATATGGACAGGGGGTAAAATTCTGGTTTTTATCGCTAATCTAATTAATCACGCTCTGGCTATTTTCATTAGACTTCCAAATCCGCAGGGGTAAAATTCCGGCCGCGAACAAACTTTTGGTCCTCTCAGGTTACTACGTCATAGTGACGTCAGCTTTGCCCAGGGGGATAAAATTCCGGCGACCCGTCTTTAACACTTAAGTTAGATTAGTTTTATATTTGTATCTGTCTGTCTGTCTGTGAGCACTGTGTGTGAATCAACGAAAACATGCAGAAAACAAAACAAGGCATCAGGGCAGGTTTAAGCGGTAGGAAAAGTATGCGGTCGCATAGGGTGCCAAGGAAAAGCCTATGCGTCTATACGCTTCTAATTTTCAGTGTTAAAGAAGGGAACTAAAGGAGAATTTAAAGAATTTAGAGGTTGAAAGTTGATTCACATCGCCAAATTGTAGGAGTTAGGAGTTTTCTTAGTAATTTTAAAATAATACACACAAACAGACAAATCTATATATTAATGGGCAAGCATGTTTCTTTAAAACCTTTTTTCTCAGCTTGTGTGCATCTCGGAAATATCTAAACATACTGTTGGAATAGTATATTACGTTACTAGTCCTGGAAATAAGTGTTTACCAGAGAAGTATGGTTGTTATGGTTGGGATTACCATACGAGTCCAGTACACACATTTTGGACAAGTTACGTACGATAGTTTACGCCATACTACTAAATCTGTACAAATCCTTATATATGTCCACCAACTAAAGGACTAAAAATCACTATTCATAACTTCTAAGAGAGGTTATGTTTTTGTTCATAACCACTTATTGCCACATAAATACAGTATAATCAGCTGATTGGTGTCCGGTAAAACTCATTGCAGAACAGTAGTACGCAATGAAACCCCATTTGAATAAGCTGGCGGCAAACAGCTGTTTTCTGGACTAAATCCTTGCGTGGGAAGTTCGTCTAAATAATGTAGTGTGGCGTAAAGACTTCTTGTAGATGCGCAGAATCCCTTTATAAATTAAAATAGGCTAAAAAAAGAGCACAAAAATGAATTTAAAATTAGAAAAAATTACTGTGGGACGTATGGGTTGCCATGCTGGAGACGAAATAACAACAAAATATAAACAGAAAATCAAAACAAATGCAAGAAATTCCAATCATATGTTCACATGTTTTATTTACAATGTGGGGTGAAAATATAGAAGTCTGCACATTACATATTTTTAGTCGGACGACCTCTAGTTATTATTAATGCACAATATAACGCCACAAGGCTATTTTAATGTTCATCAATCCATTCTGTTGTTGCAATGAGTTAGTCTCCAGCTTCTGATCTTTATGAGATAGCATAGGCAGGCTAGTGTACGAGGTGTGGCTAGAAAAAAACCGGACTAGTCCCAGTGCAACAATAAAACAAATGCAATAAGGCTGAAAGTCGCGTGGACTGTCACGTGACTCTCGCCCATCCTACTGCTCGAGTTTCATCTGCCTTCTTTACTCAGTCTGCCCGTGGCGTATGTTCTAAGTAATTGTCGTTTTGGCTGTGCGTCGGAAAAATGTTGAGTGTACAAAAAATCGATTGGCGTTTGGTTTCGGGATCGTAAGTAAAAAACCACAATTCATATCAAGTATTAACATTTTGTAAGAAGGTTGGATCACTATCAATGTTTTCTAGGATGTCAGAACAAATCATTCTTCGGCGTTCTTTCTGTTCAATTGTGAGACACTTTGGAACCATTTTGGAACACACTTTGATCATGTTGAAACTTTCATGAAGAACACTTTCCTTGTCAATTCCTGTCAACTCAGACATTGCTCTGATTGTTAAACGGCGATCTTGTCGAACAAGTTTACAGATTTTTTCAATGTTTGCATCAGTTTATGCTGACAATGGTCTGCCAGTACGAGTGTCGTCACTTGTGTCTTCGCGGCCATCTTTAAATCGCCTAAACCACTCAAACACTTGTGTTCGCGATAAAAAATCATCGCCGTACACTTGTTGTAACATTACAAACGTTTCACTTGCAGATTTTCCTAGTTTGAAAAGAAATTTGATGTTTACATGCTGTTCTTTTTGTACACTCAACATTTTTTCCGACGCACAGACAAAACGACAACTACTTAGAACAGACGCCACGGGCAGACTGAGTAAAGAAGGCAGATGAAACTTGAGCAGTAGGCGGGGCGAGAGTCACGTGACAGGCCACGCAACTTTCAGCCTTATTGCATTCGTTTTATTGTTGCACCGGGACTAGTCTGGTTTTTTTCTAGCCACACCTCGTATAAGTAGTTATTGAACCTTAATGTTATAGCCTACGAACAAAATATTTGATTCTTATATTAATACATACAAGGTTACAAGTTAAATAAATTCTTATACTCATAAATTTATATTTAACAATGACAATACCAACCCATGGTAATTATTCAAAATAGGTGCCTTCACAAGAGTTTTTTTAAGTTTGATATCTACATGGACGTCCTAACACAAAACACTGACAACACTAAGGGATACACAAATTATGGTAAACCTTTATACTACGCAATGAATTTGAATCTTTTCAAAGGCTTACGGCCCATGTGAAATTTGAAGTGCGTTTTGCACTAGTTGGCAATGGTGAAAAAGATTTTTTCCAAAAACAGGCTTGATTTGATCGCGCTGCAATTATATCCCTACGGGATATATGCTAAGCGGTTAATCAAAATATAATTATTTTACCAACTAGTACCGCAAACTTTTGATGATTTGCACAACCCGATAATGGCTTACCCTTATGGAAGGAAACACGAGAAGGAACTGGGCAGGTTTCCTGGCTCAGAGCCGCTTCGATGACGTGGTGAATTGTGGGTAATTGGTCGTACTTTGTAGTCAGCTGATCCTAGGTTTCACAGGGCGGTTTGAATTTGAGGTTTTTTACCTCAAATTTGGTACACTTGGCAAAAGAACCAGAACCGAGAACCAATGGCGAAATGTCACCGAAACCTGTCACCGATTATGCCGGAAAATTACCAATAATGCCACAAACGCGCAAAACGAAAGTGACGTTTCCGTGACCGTCGGAGTCAATGATTGCGGAAGATGATTTTGCCGCGATCACAATTGCGGACAATGACAATGACGTTACCGCGATCCCGGGAGATGATGATGAAGTCTACGTGGCCGCAAGAGATGTTCATGATTTAGCCGCGATTGTGGACGAAGACGAATACGTTTCCATGACCACGGGAGTTCATGTTGATGTCTACACGGTTGCGGGAGATATTAATGATTTTGCCGCGATCGCGGCAGACGATAATGACGTCTGTGTGGAAATCATCAACATGTGATCTGGGTATTGACCTTGAGTGATGTTCATGATGTTGCCGCTCTCAACCAATCCATTTAGAAAACTTGGTAAAACTATTAAAAAAATGGTATTGGTATTGAGAATTGTTTTGTTTTTTTTAGGTATCGGTATCGAGAATCCATAAATTTTGTATCGACACATCACCAATTTCATCAAATATTTGTAACACTTCTGTTACATTATATATTATTTTGATTTGAATGTGTTTGGTTATTTAAGTATGTTTTTTTATACAGTACAAATAAGTTTTATTTTCTTAATCCCTTAAGTTTTGTATGACCAACCTATAGGCCTACTAATGCAAAATACCATAAAATTGAAATGTGGAAATTTTGTTTTAAAAATTAAAAATTAAGTTGCCTATCCTAAAAATTTAAACCGGTACTGACTTTGAAAATGTGGTACGGACCCATCACTAATTGTGTTAGATTCACTCCATATTATATGTAAAAAAAAAAAAAAAAAACACCAAGAGTGTCCCTAATGTCAAATGAAACATGAGAACAGTTAACTTAAGAAAGGTTTTATTTTCAAATATAAAAATATAATGTTTTTTGGCCTTTTAGCCCCAAATCATGATATCCACTATACTATAGTACTTTCCTCATATTTTATACTTCTGTCCAGTTTCAAGCTGTTGTACTCAGTTTGTTTAAATGTTTCAATTCTCCATGTTCAAGATGAAACTGAAAATATAATAGTATAAATGAGATGGAGAAATATTAAATAAATAAACAAGTTCTAAAACATGTATAACATTACAAATAGCATTGCTGTTTAGTGCCCTAAAGCCAAATATTGAACCTGAATAATTATTTTCATCATACTGTCCGGAAAACGGCGCTTTTTAGATCACTAAATCGTCTGCAAAATCATTGTTTTCAAATAGGGAACAGAAATAACATATGGTAAATTTTCGGTTCGCTAACCTCAAAATTTGTTTATGGCACATAATAAATGTTGTTTACTACTTTAAAACATTATGGAAGCTGATAATTACAAAATATTTAAGTTATTTTTGTAAATAACAGAAATGTAAACATTGATGACGACTTTGAATAACCTCCAAGAGTATATACATGTTGCGTGGTCTAATTTTGTAATGAGTTTAATGTTTTTTACATAGTATGATGAAAATAGTTGTTCATCACACGGAGCGAAAACATATTTTTGGTACTTAATTGTATTTTCAAGATTTAAAAAAGTTTTTTTAAGTATATTTTTTGCACTGACAATTGCTATGGCAATCAAAATACACATATTTGATATTCTGCCCTTGGCCTATAATTCAGGTTCCTGTAAACACAAATATCCATTACCTGCATATTTAACTTCATCAAAAGCTTTTCTAGCTTTTTTCAGTTCCTCATTCATTGTTAAGAGATCTTTAACCCTGGCATATTTTCGGGGGTCTTTTCTGACGAGGAAAACAATATCTTCAACTTGGACTCTACCAGTTCTACCGATTTCCATTGCTTTGTGTGTCTGAAAAATATATGATGTCATTTATAGAGGCAGGAAGGTATAGCTGGATAATTCATATGGTTGGCAGGGCGGTTACTATACATCACAATATAGTAATATTATGAAAGTTAAAACCTATTTGATGCGTGTTTCAAGTGGAAACAATTGAGTGTGTCAATGTCGACTAAATTAACTAGCCTACATGTATTGATAACAAAAATGCAAATCAGCTGTTTCTTACTAAGCATATTATTGTTAAATAATTAATGTTTATTAGTTAGTTGTTTAGTCACAATGTACAAAGATTTGTAAGTATCACATAAGGAAAATACCCCCGCTGCAGCAAACCTGCAGGCTAAGCGAATTTCCATTTGCCTGAATTGATTTGAAAGTAAATCTATTCAAATAACATTAGGTTTGACAAGTACCTAAGTTTGCTGCTACAGGGAGGCTAATAAAGTCAGTTTTTTTTAGTAAAATATTAGTAGCTTAGTAAAAAAAATTTGCAAAATTTGATCAAAATATTTCCATAAACAAGCAAACTACAACATTTTACAATATTCTCAATAAGATTAACAAGAGAATTTAAAATTTATTTATTTTTTATTTTTGCCGTAGCCAATAACCGTACAAAAACACTTTGGTATACTATTTTTTTAAGCTCTTTACAATCGTCTAGAGAGAAATTGGTAAATTTTGTATTTTGAGAGTCAAAAATGAGAAAACTAATTTTTACCCCACAAAACCCCCTGTAAAACCCTGTCCCCATGGTCCGATCATGCTGGTTCGCAAACTCATTCAAATTTATCCTTACACCTTCAAACCAAATTTCATCAAAATCATATATATATATATCTGGTTTTTATTATTTTACTTATTTATTGAAAAAGTAGCCCTAAAAAGTGAACAAAACTATCAAAATATATATTTATATACATATCTATATATACAGTATATAAAATCTAATGTATGTTTGTTTGTTTGTCCGTTAAGGACTCCGAAACCGCTCGACAGATTGTAATGAAACTTTCAGGCATTATTAAGCATTATTCAAGGATGGTTTGTGTGAAGTTTGGTGCAGATCCGTTTAAAGGGCTCCGTCCCAGTGGCTCTGGAGTTTCCCATGTTAACCTTATGAGTACTCATATTTAAATGGAATTAAAGAATCTTAACAGCTGGTTCAACTAAACAATTTGATTCTGTGATGTTCAATAGCATTAAAAAGTTAATAGGTTTACCAACAGGGTGCAGCACTATTATTTTTTTAAATATATGACAACAGCTAATTTGCAACTTAAAGGTGAGTGAGCGTAGCGAACGAACTTCAACCTGGAGGCGAGTTACCGTAGCGAACAAGCTAACCTAAAGGCACGTGAGCGCAGCGAACGAGCTCCAACCTAAAGGTGCGTGAGCGTAGCGAACGAACTTCAACCAGGACGTGATTGAGCCATGCGAACAAGCTCATCTTGAAAATGAACGGGCATTTGACATAAAAAAACATTAGGACAGTTTAACATAAAGACAGTCTGTCGGGCCAGATAGTATAGATATATATATAAGTTTGACTAAATAATGTTTTTGGCCTCTAGGGACATAAAAATGCAAAAGTATATCGGTCCCGGCTCCAGGACTTAACGTGCTACCTACAGTAATAGTTACTTCCCTATAGGGAAATTAACTAAAAAAAAAACAACAACAAAAACTGGGAAGGTATATGTAGGAAGTTTTTATGGATTGTATTTATTTATTACTAGCAACAGAGCCCGTTGTGGTTAAATACAACGGTCTCTAGCAAAATAATGGTTGTGAAATCCATACACCACTTTACTTACTAATATTAATGGTACAGATTAAGCACATACCATTAGAATCACATACTTAACATAATGAACTCACTTTAAACACAAATGCAAATTGTTAACAACAACATTATTAATCAAAGAAAAAACAATTAAATAACAATATAACAATAAGCTGTTAAATTATTAACACATGTTTTGTATGTTTAGATTATGCATACTGGTAAATCAATTATTGCCATCTATAAAAATTATTGGTTTTTCTTTTCCGAGTCGGGTTAAAGGTCTTCTACCCGACCGATTTTCATAATTTTGGCCTTAAACTAAAGGTATGGACGCACCACAGATTTGTCATCAATCATCGGCATTCATTTTGACGTATATTTTGAGTTATGCATAAAATGCGTCTCTGTATATAAAGCTATGCAAGCACATATTTGTCATCAAGCATCATTATTAATTTATCTATGTATTACTCAACAAAAAAATATAAATTTGATTTTACTTCAATTAAAGATGTATTCCAGCAGTACTAATTACATTATCCTATATGTTTTAGTCTAAAAACCTTTAGTGAAATACCAGCTTTCATTTGAGCTATTGATTATTAAGATTCTGATCTTAATAATCCTACCTTAAAGCACACTGCTGAATCACGAATCAATAATAATTATAATCGTTTTATTACTTATCTGCAATCAATGATACGTAACTCAAATTTTATTTAAGTTATTTTATATGTCTCCGTCTTAAAATACTTTAAAGGCTTTAACTTGAGATATTGGTAGTTTTAATCAGTTAAGTTTAAGATATACTGTATTGCTCAATCAGAAAACATAAATTTGATTATATCTTGGATATGGAATTTAGTTTTAGATATATTTACTCACGTCATTCTATTTGTTTTGACCTAAGAACCTTCAGTGAAATACCAGCTTCCATTTGAATGATTGATTAACACGTTCGCTACTGAGCGTCGCATATATGCGACGCCGCGGTCATTGCCACAGACCAAGGTATACATTTGAATCTTACACATAGACCGGCTGTCACTTGGTTAACAGTACACACAGACCACGGGCGAAAACCTGTAAAACAGTGATCATTTACGTTGTAATACGCTTCAATCGTGTTTGTAAATAAATTATTCTTGTTTTTTTGTATTTGTTATAACCTTTTGTAATGTCGCATATTTGCGACGCCCGGTCTACAGCGAAGACAATAGTGAAAATTATCATAGTTTTCTTGAAATAGACTAAACGTCGCATATATGCGACGGTTCATTTTTTTTTGTTTTAAGGTGAAAGTAAGTAAAATAATAAACAGATTATTCAAGAACAGTTTATAACTGAACAAATATAAAAGCTACATAGGATAATGCAGCCTACATACTGCATACATACATACAGTGATGCAGAAAAGTAAAGACCAGTTTTTCCAACTATTATATGACGTCACCAATCATCATATCCACAGACCAAGCGACGCAGTTGTGCGTCAGACATCTCTGTAGACCACTGCAGGGAATTCAGTGCCTTCAAATAGACCACTACAAAGATATGAGCATTTTAATAACATTAGAACCCCGACGCAAATATGCGTCGGCAGTCTATTTTAATGTGACTAGCCGTCGCATATATGCGACGCTGGTCTATGTGAATGAAAAATTTCGTACTATTGCAGTAGCGAACGTGTTAATAAGATCTTACGTACCTAAAGCACACTGCTAAATCAAATACGATCAACCCAATAAAAAAAAAATTGAGTTATAATCATCGATTATTTTTGCAACCCCAACAGCAACTGTCAGACTTTGACTGTTTTCACCTAGTAAATCTTTAAAAAATTGATATTTCATAATTGTTTGCAAATCAACACGAATTGGGCTTTCCAATGAATAACCTATTAATTAATAGAATCGGTTCAGTAGAACTGTAGATTTAATTGTACAAAGTTTAACGACAAAATTTTACTTCAGTATTTTCTCACCATTATACAGTAAGTTTTCAGGTTGCATAACGTTTTTACAAATAACTTTGAAATGAGGAAATCGACCAAAGTGGAAGGTGATATTCTGATGGAGAATAAAATTTCCTACAAATTACTACTATGTATTTTTTTGGAAAATACTCAATAAAAGCAGCCTTAAGTTGGCTACAAATATAAACTTGGAAATATAAACTTGGAAAAAAATGTATTTTAAATGTAATATTGTTTATTTTTATTGTTTTAGGTACCTAAAACATGTAATAAAATCAAACTTTCATAATTATTTGCAAATCTACACGAATTAGGCTTTCCAACGACCTATTAAATAACAAAATCGGTCCAGTAGAAGTCTAGATTTGGTTTTACAAAGTTTAACAAAAATATATGTAATTCAGTATTTTCTCACCACTACAAATTTGGAGATCACTTAGATTATTGCCAATAACTTTTAAATGGAGGGGAAATCGACTAAAGTGGATGTAATAATGAAATGAAATGAAATGAAATGAAATGAAATGTGTTTATTGTCTTGTGAATTTATACAAATTATTGACAATGTCCGAAAAACTGCTAAAACTAGCATAGTCAGTTAATGAATACAATATACAATATTTACAAGAATACTACACACAAGGAGACATGTTACAATACGTACTTTAATATTACAACCAAATAATCTTATTGTTCAGAAAAATGCAAGGCATTTAGAATAATGAAAGTTATTAAACCCCATAACCAACTAAATCCAACAGTAATTTGATAAATTTGCTAGCTCTACTTAAAAATTAATAAAAGGCATTTCAAAAAAATCTTTTAGAGAATAAAAAGGGTTGTTCAAAAGCCATTTGTAGAATTTAGATTTAAAAGTTTTATTAGGATATTTTGTTATTAAATGTATTAGCTTGTTGTATATTTTTAGTGAGATTACAATATGACTTTTAAGAGTTTTAGACAGTCTAAAAAAATCTATGGTAGCAACGTTTTTATTCCTTGTATTATGAACATGGGAATTTTGTTTGATAAGGTTGGGATTTTGTAGAATATATGATACAGAGTCAAATATATAAATGTTAATTACTGTTGGAATTTGTAGCTGAATGAACAGGGGTTTACAGTGTTCCTGTTGGGGTTCACAAGATATGATTCTAACTAACTTCTTTTGTAAGACTAAAATTTCCTCTATCCTACTGCAATTTCCGTAAAAGATAATATTGTATCTGAAAATGGATTGGA